GGGTAAAACTGTGCATTGTCTCTCCACCACTTCAAAAACAATACAGTTTTTGCCAAGAAGGTGAGGCTTATTGACAGGGCGAGATATAAATATACTGTTGGTACTTGTCAATGTCTCTAGGTATGTACATGTAGCCCTGTAAATACGATGTCCTTTTGTGTTCTCTGTTGTTTTATGTTCATGTTGTAACCTACTTGCTGCCATGTTGGACAGGTCTCCCTTGAAAAAGAGATCGATGATCTCAATGTTAATGTTAAATCTGGTTAAATAAAGGTTTAAAAAAAAAAATCGCGGTAGATTTTGTCAGTCTCACGACAGTATTGAGACATTTATTTACCACGATATTCGATATATCGTTACATCCCTACTGAACAGGAGAAAAATCACATTGTGCGAAAAGAGGGCACAACATTGTAAAACTATTTAAACAAATGGTTAAACACTTTGCTGATGTGGATGGCTTGGATATAGTTGCCAGAAATGATTATTGTGAAAGTGTTAGATGTGAAAGAGTCTCATAAGGGAGAGGTGGCTCTAATCTTTAAACTGTAATTGTCCAATCTAAATGAGTGATGCAAGGACGTTGGCACCCGCTCAAACCCTCGATGAGCATAGACAAAGGTCCTCTATTCGGCACAAAGCTTCTGCATTCTGAGCAAAAAGTGTTTTATCGGAAGTGGCTGCAGCTGACCTGGGTTGAGGAGGGGACAGGTACAGCCGTGGGTGGTCCAGGACTCAGGGTAGAGGGTGACGCTTCCCCTCTGAAGCTTCATCTGAGGGTTCTGGTACAAGACCTTCTTGACCTTGACCTCCACCTCTGCATGGGAGCCTTTATCGTGAGCAGACATTACCTTCACCACCAGGACTGTCAAGACAAAAACAAATAAATAAATGGGCAGTCTAACAAGTACGAAATATAATTTTCACTCAATTGTACACATCCAAATCAGTTTATTAGTCATAAGGAGCGCTGCCAGACATTTTTCTACTTTGGTCGTGGAGACTGCTGATTTTTGACAGCCTGCACATTTTAGATAAGGGGCATTAAAAAGGATGTAAGTCCGGTCGATTCAAAGGAAAATATGAACTAGAGTTACAACATAAGAGTTGTATGATCCAGCATTGATCACGCATCAATTTTGACCTTGAGAAGAAACGCATAATTTTTCTAACTTTAAATAAAAGGTTCCCTGAATAGTTTTCAACAACTACCAATATAAATCAATGTTTCTGTGATTGGATCAATAAGGACGAGATAATGTAGACTGTAAACAAGAAGTGGACGTAGATAAAGGGATTTTGGTTTTTTAGCTACCTTCATGTTGCTACCTTGAAGCCTCTAGGTTGGTATTCTGTTATCGTCTGTTTTTTAGAACTGACAGTGGCACTGAATGCTAAACAATACAAATATAAAATTAAACATTTATTTTAGATACATTTTTTGGGTTTTAAACAACCAGACTCATATGTTGAAAGGTCTCACCCACCTTCCCCCGTCTAAATTCTTAATTATTTCCTTTGTCATATAGCACATACCATAGTCATACTCCGCAGCACAGAAGAGTTTAGGGCTGCCCAGGGTGACTTCGACACACTCGCATTTCTCTGTAAAAATGACACATGATTAATGAGATCATCATAATGTATGGATTTGAAGATCAAAGCAGCTGCATTGTGTCTGTGTGGGCTGATGAGTATGCTGTGCATTACGTGTGATTTGACCTGTGACTCACCAGAGTGGTGCAGTGCAGAGAAAAGCTCCTCTACCCTAAAGAGTGCCGTCTCACTGTTATTGCTGCTGTGTCCCATGTGGCCGGTGGCTGTATAGAAGACCTCCACATCTGAGCTGTGCCGCAGAGGTAAAACCAGTCAGAGGCAGGGCTCCACTCAGTGTTAAACATCCAGAATGCACTCCACCTCTGCACCATACATCGATTAATCCAAGTACAAATACATATGGATATGGTATTAAAGCCTTGGTTCTCACCCAGGAATGCAGTCTCCGGTGTAGGGATCACAATCCCCCGTGCAGTCACATGGACGGCAGCCGTATTCATGGAGCCCCCAGTATCCCAGCATGCAGCTGTCACAGCGTGGGCCTCCGACACCGGGCTTACAAGTGCACTCCCCGCTGCTAGGGTTACACAGAGTCCTACCTCCAGAGAGGACGGAGCCCACAGGGTGGCAAGAGCAGGCTGCAGAGGAGAACAATAGCATGTTAACATTTCATTTGTGGGTCAAAACATGCGTCTCCTTTTCTGGCACTCTGTGCGAGCTTCCATGTGTGTAAAGGATGAGCCTACTTGAAAGCACAAACACACTCAGAGTGTACACAGTGAACTCCCATGGCAACTGTTTTTTTTTTGGATTTAGAAGATAGTTGAGAACATTTCACCAGTAAAATAAACTTGCAGTTACAGGGAGTAATAAAGGTGTGCAATAAGGGGGCAGTCTGAATTGAAACCCTCTCCTTCTCATTATCCTCTTTTTATGTGCATGTTATACAATTTTCGTTATACATTAACAGAGGGATGCATGGTAACAGAGTTGTAATATCGACACAAAAATGTACAATACTTTGTGACGGACACCAAGCAACCTTTTATTTTGTTTGTAGAACTGGACATC